GCTCGGTCATTTAAACTGACGACTCGTTCGTTTAACCCGTCGAGTTGATCCGATAACCTGTCGGCTCGCTCTGATTCACCGTCTGGTCGATCTTGCGACCCGTCAGACGATCCGTAAGCAGATTGTGCCGATACTTGCATTAGTTCTATTGGCGAGAGCTGAAATTTGTGTTACATTTATGAAACGCATAGTTTAGTTTTAATATCCGCCCGAATAATGTTTAGGCGTCTTTTTCTCTCAAGTCACGTTCTTACGAGCAAGAAAGAGACAATATGAAGTACCGTATCGTCGCAGTGAGTGTAATTATATTTTTAATAGGAAATGATATTATTTTTCCGGATTTAAATCGTGTATATTTGTTTTTTATAATATACGCGATTTAAATCCGGAAAAATAGTTGCGTCTTTTATGCTATTTTCAAATTTTATGCATATCGGTTGAGGAAACGCCTAAGAGACCCCCCACAGTCAGCGTCTCGCCAACGCAAAAGGCTAATTAATTGATCGACGCATATATTTCTTTACAATTATTTATTTATCTAATCTAATTAAATTATAACATCCACCATTATGACTTATCCTGTATCAATTAAATTAATTTGGTAATGCATTTAGGAAATGAAACTGTTTTTCCGGATTTAAACCAAAACGTTTAAGGCTCTTTACAGGTGACATCAACCGTGACCATGGGACCTGTAAAGGGATCGAAACGTTGGTTTATTTGAAAAAATAAATATAGTTGTAAATATAATTGTTTAATTCTTTATTATTATTTTGCATGCTTTTGTTTAATGCTGAATAGGATTAAGTTCTCATTAAATTTTACCATCAACATTTTATAATATACCGTACCCTATTCAAAACGAATAAATACATTTAAATTTAAAAAAAAGAAGAAAAAAAAAGAAAAAAAAGAATTTAAATTTGAACGCACGCACAGCGACCCCGCAACGGTTATCCAACGCCAGCACTGGGCCGACTGCAGCATAGTACTGAAAGTTAGTACACGCCATACGGACGTCTTGTCGACGCGGCTATGCGTGCCTTGGTAAAACGCTAGTGAGAGAGGGTCTCTAAAAGTTTCCATTGGTTGATTTCGCTTCGACAAGGCTCAAAATTCATATATAATGTAAAACCAAAAATATAACCTTATTTACAGTCGATGTAGATCCTAAATCGTCCTTAGTAGAGGCGGTGGTGCTTGTAGATTTACCGAATAGCTTCTTGGATATAAGTGATATTGGTATATTTGCGTATGAGGAGTTGCATAGGTGCTGGAAAGGGAGGGTAAGAGGATAAGGATCAATTTATATTGGGGCGGAATGGAAGCGAATTTTTGTAACGATATGGTGGTAACTTTATGGTCAATTGTATAACGTATAACCTAAATACGAGACAAAGATTTCTCGCGGATGTTCGAGAATGCTCAAATGCGGAAGTGGCGTGAAGGCAGGCGTAGAGTGACGTGAAACGTCGATGAAATACTACAATATCAAGGCGCAAATGAAAAAGGTCGCGAATGCGGAAATTGACGCTTCCTTTTCATTCTATTCCGCGACAATGTAAATTGAGCCTAAGGTATTTAACGGCTGGGGAATTTGCAGGTTTTATATGCAAAATTTTGTAGCTGTAGAGCTCTTTGTGAAAGAATTCGTCCAGGGAAGTATTGCCACCTTACCTATTTCTGCCGCCAAGCCGTAATGTCAGCATTACCGTGTTACGGTTTTGAAGGGTAAAGGTGCTGGTAAAATTACAGGCACATAGGACTTGTCAATTTATATCTCAGGGTGACGGGCGCAGTGGCAGTGCCCCTCAGATTTTTGTGATTTAAAGCTCTGAGTGGCACTGCAACTGTTATGGACAGGCGTGCAGCTTTTGTCCCGTCACTTGATGTTATATATTAATACACATCTGCACACATAATTCGAGTCACCACGCGTTTTCAGTATTAAGTGCCCCAAGCTTAAACAATGTTTGATTGATCAAAAATTATTACGCAATTTTGAAACTAGTAGACTAAACGTCTCTTCCATAAGTCCTTGTTGAGAATTTGGATTTGCAAAACCGGGGGAAAACTTTTTCTTCAATGATAAAATTATTTTTGTATTCTAGCCCTTTACGGCAAAAAAGCGAGGAGACTCGAAGTATGTGTGCGGGAGTATATATATTCCGTCCCGAAAGTAAGTCAGATGGACGTAGTAGTAGTTTAGTAGCAGTAGAGCTACTTGTAAATTAATTCGTCCTGGGAAATACTGTCACCTTACCTATTTCTGCCGCCAAGCAGTTACAGGCACATGGGACTTGTCAGCTAATGTCTCAGGGTGACGGGCGTTTTCTTTACTTAAGTTCTGAATGTCATTGCAACTGTTATGAACTTGTTCGTTCTGTCACTTGATATAAAAAAAAAACCACACAGATCACGATTGTTAGGATGAAGTGTTCAAATAAGTTTCATTAACGTGTAGAGGAGGATACCTAACAAGATGGTCCACTGTTCACAGTTCTATTACGGTCTTTTTAAATAACGACGTTATCAAACTAACCTTATCAACTTCGGTATCGAATTGCTCGTTCGTTGCTCCTTTGGACATTGCCCCTTTCTCCATTAACGTAGCGCGTTTCGCCGCCAGGTATAAAGATCTGAAAATGTAATAAGCTTCGTATATTGCACTGTTATTACAATAGTGTTATAACATTTTAACCGACAAAAAAGGAGGATGTTCTCAATGCGACTGTTTTATTTATTTTTAAATGATTCTTTTTTTTTGTTAGAAAAAGGGTATCACAGTGGTGAGCTCATTTAAATTTGAAGAAAATATTCCTTGTGTAAGGGTGGCAAACTGGGCGTGAATTCGGTTTCGCGCACTTTTTACAATAACCTATTTCAATAAAATTTGCAATAATCGACCTACGTAAAGTATAGTATGTTGAAATTGCCAAGTTTACAGGGGAGCCTTTAAAAGTTCTGAATTGTCTCAAAAGAGCATAACACGTGACTTTAGCATTTCTAGTTTTATTTGGCAAAGCTATTATAAAAGTCTCACAGACTATAATAAAATCCTAGATATCGGTTAAATAATCTATTAGATGATCGTGTTATGTTCATTTCAGTGAATTATAACTTTAAAACTCTTCCCTGTAAACTTGGCAATTTCGACATACGATATTCTACGTAGGAGGGGTCAATATGTAATTCCGTGAAATTATTCTTCTATTAATTATTATTCGTTTTCTGTGCTATCGTACAAAGGTCTGTTACAATTTCTTTTTTATAATATCAAGTGAGAGGACGAACAAGTCGTGGGCATGGTGGTAAGCGACACGTGGTAGGATGGTCGGGTTGTTTGTGATAGGTTTACAGCTTTCCCTTACCATTTCATGTATAGCCAGTTAGTTTTAATTCATCGAGTATATAACCAGAAATAGAGACGAAATAACGGTCATCCATCCCTGGCAACTCATCAGGTAAATGGGCCTTATATCACTTTTAAATATCAACTCCCGTTTGCACTGAAATCACAAATTAAAAAAATGAAATAGTACAGTGCCAACAACTGACCTGTGTGTACGTATCCGTATATTCCCAAAATATTTTATATTTATTGTAATAAAGATAATATCTCTAATTATGAGGGGCTGTTCCATACGGTGGCGTGGGAAAAACAGCAAAACATCTAATTACAAAACAAACGGAATCACATTTCATCAGTAATTAAATACTAAATATGTATTTATAACAAAGCTCAAGCTAAACTGGTCGATTTGAAGTGAAACAATTGACGACACCCATTAATTGTTTCGAGTTAAGGCTGGCCAATCGGAACGCAGTTGTCACCGTAATGATTTGGCAGAATAGTTTTCAAACAAATTACATGACATTTCTGGTTATATCCTCGATGCTTTAATTACACATACAAGACGATACTCAACAGTAACACTCAACAAATATTCGTACAACACTGAGACGGAGAGTTAGTTGTTAGTAAGCTGATTGGCTTTACACGCCCTTTCTACTAAACCGACGATATTACATACATACCTCTTAACGGTGAGGTAGAACGTATCCGTGATTGCGCGCACACTGTAATCTGGCACGAAGGTGTGACGCAGCATTGAATCCATGTTGATATTCTGGAGGGAGCCCATGGCGCTAGGGGTTGGAGACTCTGCTGTAATTATATAAAGTTCTTAATGGACATCACGACGATTTACGACCATGATATTAAATATTTTTGTAAAATTGTTATAAGCTATTTATTTGAAACAAACCAACGTGGCATATGCCTCAACTACTATCAGAACCGAAGTCGCTAAAACTCACACATTTTTAATTTGAAACACTACAAAATCTTGATATTGATTGGTCGTAGTTTCAAATTTAAAAAGAAATAACAAATTCTGGATTGTTGATATAATTTAAACTTTATTCTGTTGGCATATCGTTGAAAGTTCAATACCATCAATACCAGCTATTGTTGCAAGTTACATTTTGATACTATATTGAAATTTCAATGTGCTACCATTTAGCGGTTCATGCTGAGCGTCGACGAATTGGAGTTATTAATTTAGTTCTCCAAACAATAAAGGACCATATTGCAGGGGTACATAGGGCGCACTATAAGTTTCCGGAACTGGCCATTTATATAAACAATATTTAAAAAGTAATTACAAAATTTGAAAATGGAACTTTTTGGCTGTAGAATACAGTTTGTTTCATCTGATTGTCACTTGTTTTTACATTGTGGCGTCATTTCAGAAATTGGTTGTCTACATCACCATGGATTTAACTCGTGAAAATTTTCGTAGTATGATTTTCTAAGACTTTAAGTGTAATTTAACAGCTCAACGGAGCTTCGCTCGACTTCAAACTGCTTTTGGCGATAAAGCACCATGCAAGACAACTATTTATAGCTGGTTTGCAGAATACAAACGCAGTCTTGTGACTCTTAGTGACAAATTTCGTGATGGTTGCCTGTCCACTTCTGTGAACAACAAAAATATCGATGCTGTGCGCCGTATGATCAAAACAGAGAGGCATGTGACATACCATGAGATTCGGGCAGACACGAATCAAATACAATCAATACTACATAAACATTTGGGCGTGAAAAAGCTGTGCTCTCGGTGGATACCACACAATTTGACTGAGGCTCAAAAAACGGAACGCGTCACTTGGTGCTATGCCATGCTTACCAGATTCAACGAAGGGGCGTCAAATTTGGTGTGGGGTACAGTAACAGGCGATGAAACATGGGTTTATAGTTATGATCCCAAAACCAAGCAGCAATCGAGCGCATGGGTCTCTCGAGATGAGTCGAAACCAACCAAAGTAGCGCGCTTGCAAAGTGCCTCTAAGCGGATGATTGCTTCTTTTTTTAATAAATAAGGACACGTGGCTGCCGTTGCTTTGGAGAATCGTTGTACCGTGAATAGTGATTGGTACACGACCATTTATTTGCCGGAAGTTATTGCCAAACTCCGTAAAAATAACCGTAAACGCCGTATCATCTTGCACCACGATAATGCCGGTTCTCACACGGCCAGACAGACAAATGAATTTTTGAAGGTGAACAACGTTGACCTTAAGAGCCATCCCGCGTACAGTCTGACCTGGCACCTTGTAACTTTTATTTATTTCCAAAAATTAAGGACCAGTTACGCGGTCAATGATCTTCATCACCTGAAGAGGGGACGAACTGTGTACTGTCCGTACTACTACTGTCTGTAGACTGTCGCACCGCGCAGCTACCTCAGGAACGGAATCAGTTAAGCGGTAGGCTTGTAAGTCGATTTTTTTATGAAAATGTGTGGCTCACCTACGCCAACGTTTTGTGTGAGGGCCTGTACGCCGAAGTAAGTGAACGGCCCCGCCTCGAAGACCAGGTTCTCGCGACCCACAGTCACTTCCACACGACCTTCGAGGATGAGGACGAAATAGTCCACCTGAAAAAAAAAATCGATAAAGTTAGTTAGTAGACTCTAAATCTTTGTCTTGTGATTTTATTACTTTGTTGTATCTCACTTGTTCTATACATCCTGTATTTTCACAAATAAATCAATCAATTATGCATTATATTTATACAGGGTGATTCAAATTCATTATACAAATTCGTTATTTGTAAAATACTAACAGCCTCACAGGACTATACAATGTGTTGATTTGCATTCTCGGCATATTTTCAGAGGTCGTTCTATGTCCGAAACTGTACCTAAATCACTAAAAAAATAAATTGCAAAAAAATCGTAAAAAGGTCCAAATAAGAGAACTTGCACGGCACGTGCTACCAAAACTTGTAGCTCAGCGGGCCGCCGAAGTATTGCTCTCTCTTTCTCAAATGCATTAAGCATCCGCGCGTCATCAGTGCGCTCGCTGCGTATAGCCTTGTATACAATTTTTAAGATACTAACCGGTTTTCCTTGATGGTACACATAAGTGGAAGGATCCTTTTTGGTCTTCCCCTTGAGTTTGATGTGGTGTATGACATCTTGTCTTAGAAGTCGACGTAGTACTGTTTCCGACACAGTGTCGGGTCTAAATGCTTCTACACCTGTAAGAAACGTGTCCATTCAATGATCTATCCATTCCGAGATCCAAAACAAAACTAAGGTTCAGGACATAGGAGATCGGGTAACAGAGGTAAAACGGAACTTAAGTTCATCTAGGCTTTCGCCCTGCCACCATAGTGCTTTGCCGCCAATCAATAATATGAGCATTACTGCGTTCCGGTTTGGAAGAATAAGGGTGCTGGTGAATTACAGGCACAACGGGCTTGTAACTTTGTGACGGGTGCAGTGGCAGTACCCCTTAGATCTTTACGATTAAAAGCTATGACAATGGACAATTGGACAATGCTGTGTGTCTCAGTTGTGACACACTCGCGATCAGCATGTTAAAGACATCCAAATTGTTGATCGATTGTATTAAAATTGATATTTTGCAATTGCAATGCAGTACCCCTCAGTTGTGAAACATTCGCAGTCAGTTGGCGTGTTGATCGCATCCAAACTGCATGGATATTTTGCAATTGCAATGCAACATATTTTAGTTGTGTGATGCACTCACGACCCAAATTGCTTGTCTATTTTATTGTACTTCTTGTGCAATGCACTATGTTTCAGTTCTTATACACGTGCCATTACTTGGCATTTGGATTAGATGCAAATTGTATGGATATTTTGCAATTTCAATGCAGTATATCTCACATGTGATGCACTCGTGATCAGTTGACCGCATCCAAATGTCGATTGTATACTTACTGATGTGTTGCAATTGCAATGCAGTATGTCTCAGTTGTGATGCATTCGCGGTCATTTGGCGTGTTGATTGCATCCAAACTATATCAATATTTTGCAATTGCAATGCAGTAGGAATGCAGCTCGTGTGACAACGGAACAAACAAAAATTAATGAATGATAGTCCATAACTCCACTCACTGGTTGAAAGGAACTGGAAGGTTGCCAATGTGAGTTGGGGCGAGATGTGTATCCTCTGGTGCTCGTGACGTTCGGCGAATGCGGCCAGGTCTTGCAGTTTATTGGCTGGGCGGTTGCGACGGCGTTTCGAGCGATTGTCCACTGGAAAAATGGAAGTATAATATTTTCATTGATATATATGGGTAATAAAGTGGACTAATAACTCAAGTCGACTACTATTCTCAATACTACAGATCGTAACTCTAAAAAAAAATCGAAATTCAGTCTTACATCTAAAGTGCGCGGATCGATCAAAGTTGTTAATGAAAATAATAATAATAATGCACACAGTCAGCACTAGGCAAACCTTGTGTCGCGGGTGCCATGGATACACACATAGACGGTTTATCAGACAAAGAAAGAGAGTAGAACCCGAGAAAAAGAACTTCTTTGAAAATTTATTACATTGTGCATATCTAGCTTTCAAATTCTGCAAGGGAGCCGATACAATTTTTTTATAAAAGAAAAAACAAAACATCTCTAAAATTTTTGTCCAACTTGGAAATGGGGTTAATGTTAATAAAGATCTGACTTGGAAGAAAAGTCAGGTGTAAAAAAATATGACATTTTAAGGTTTACAATAATAATAATAATAATAATAATAATGTTTATTTCACAAAATAGTTTACAACATAATAATGAAGTCCCTGATCCTGTGCTAGGTATAACCTGTGTGACAGGAGCCAGTGTCCTCTCCCAAATTTTGACAAGCCTCAGTCTATTTCATGAGAAAAAAGAAAGTGATAGAATTTACTATAGTACTGTTTCTAATAATTATTATAAGTTGGACACATTTTAATATGCACATTGTGATAAATATTATAGATGGATCGGATAGTGACTTAGCCGGATACCGGATATCCGGCGAGCACCAAGGCCGGATATCTGACCCACTGCCGTAAACCTATCCCGACCGGTTTGATTGATTGATTAGTGAATGATTGCACTTTCACATTGACGATTTGATTTGTTGTCGTGACTTGGTTTTTATGAAAACGATTCATTTATTCAATAATACAAACAAACACACGACAAAAAAATGTAAACATTGAAATTCATCACAAATTTGACAATATTTTAATATCAGTGCTGTTTGTTTGTCGTGCCGAATGCAAATTTCTTGAGGTGGAGAAGGACAAAAAACAATTACATAATTGTTTGGCTATATTAAAATTTCTAGTTATTGTAAGTATTATTAAATATGCGAAAAAAAAAATCTACTTACCGTCTTATTATTGTGGGTAAACATTGTGTTTGAAAACAGTTCAACTCGACAATGATCGCGATCACTTAGTCGTCTGGCACTAACAAATAGTACTTAAAATTTAACAAAGTTTGCAAGAGTTTATAGTGAAAAACTATCTTCTGAAGCTGGTCTTGTTTATAAAAATAAATGGAAACATTTACCGCTTAATGCACAAAAAACTTGTCTTTATCCACCATAATTTGCCTGATTTGAAATTTGGGTACTAAATTTACAGATAGCGTTATCTAACATCATAGTTAATTCAGTTACAAGTAATAAACAGATTGTCAACGAACCTGCAGTTTCTTTTTATCTTATTATTATCATATTTAATCAATAAATCAATTTATTTGGCGAACTGATTATGATTTTTTCTCAGTTTTAAACATTCGGTATCCGGCTGGATATTGGTCTACTATCCGGCCAGATAGTAAAAATAAGCCGGATATCGGATCGCCACAAAACCATTCGTTATAATTTTAAAGTAGGTTCAGGTTTTGGTTTAATTGATAATTAAATAATTCCAATTACTACTACAATTGGGTATCGGTTTCATAATAATTTAAAGTTAACAGCCAGTTCTCAGCTTCGAATTTAGCTTCACGAGCAGATAAAATATATATGTTGTACAATTGTTCTACGTGGAACTGAGTACATGCAACTACTGGGAATAAACCTACACAGGAACTAAGAAATTGACTTACGAAACACATCGGTCTCGTCAACAATCTCTGCCTGTATCATTTCCTCAATGACATCCTCCAATGTGACCAATCCTATTGTTTCGTAGAACGGATCGCCTTCACCCTCGTTGTTGATGCGATGCACGAACGCCATGTGGCCCTTGTGGCCTGCAATAATAATAATCTTTATTTACCAACAACAGGACTACATTACTTTTTTATTTATTTATTGAAGAAAACCAACGGCGTATACAAAGAAAAATGTGTACAGAATGCTTAAACTAAAAGTAAGGCTAATAACAGGTTTCCCTAGTTTGAAACATACCGTGGAAAACAATGTAATTCAGTAACTTACGAGCATGTATAGTAGAACCTTAAGTATTTGACTGAATTAAGTTTAGATCTTAAATATTTTAAGTAAATTAAGTACTTTAATAATTAACCTTAAGTATTTTAAGTTGCGAAAATCATAATAGAAAAATAAGTTATAAATTAGATACATTAAATACATTACATATGTACAACTCGTACATAGCTATCATAAAGAAAACAGAAAATGACCCATTGAGCATACTCTCATTATTAATGCCATATACAGACTCTCACTATGTAAAGATATTTCCGTATATAATATATAATTGACTTATATACCCACGCATAAACAAATCGTAACGAATTCTTTACTTGATGTTTGTTAAGATTACGTTACAGATTAAGTTACATTCGCATTTACACTATGTTTCTTAATGCTTTAATAGCAGTAATGCTCCTTGTGAAAGAGTTCGTCCAGGGTAGTACTGCCACTTTTCCTATTTCTGCCACCAAGCAGTAATGTGAGCATTACTCGTTCTGGTTTGAAAAGGTTAGGTTGAAAATGAATATTAATATAATAACGTCCCGCAATAGGGAAACACTGTGTCGCGGGTGCCATGGACACACACATAGACAACATACATATTATATACACAGACGACAAATTACACCCAAACTCACGAGAGAAATAAATGTAGGCCATATAAATATTTCTCCCGGCCCGGGAATCCAACCCGGGACCTTTGCGTGGCAGTCCGGCATGGTAACCGTTCGGCCATGGAGGCAGTTATTGAATTGATATTCAATTATTTTGTTATGTGAAATTACTCCACTAGTTTGTTATAATTATTAATACAAAGTCGAACACATAGAAAAAATTCCTTCGATCCGTCTGTATTCGAACCGACGTCTTCTAGCATACCGTGCCTGAAGCTATAACAACTAAGCCACGGAACGAACTAGCGGACCTCACGAATTTTTCTATGTGCTTGTTGTCGTATCTTTGTATTTGGTTTTTCAGAGCCTTCTTCATCGTAGCGCCATGTATGCGAAATCTGTAAAAGTATTTCTTCATCCAGTTAGATACCTTTACAGCTACCAGCCCCGTCTGGAGATGTCTATTTTATAGAGATATCTATAAGTTGACTATTGTTTTTAATGCTGAGTTTATTAGCTTCTTACAAGAACGATTTTATTGTATTCGAACCTTGGAACTTGGAACCTCTGCTGTCCCGATTTTTTTGTCCCATACAATGAAATGAACCTTACATAAAACTGAGTCGATCAGCACTAAAAAAAATTTTGATCAATTTTGTTCATTTTTATGGATAACTCACGCTTGACCAAAAAATGACTATCCTAAAATTGTTTTCACAAAAAAAGACTTAGTTTCTATAAACACTATAATGGGGACTATTATGCCATGTAAAAAACATAGAGTATATAACCAGAAATAGAGACGAAATAAGGGCCACCCATCCCTGGCAACACATCAGGTAAATGGGCCTTATATCACTTTTAATTAAATATTAACTCTCGTTTGCGCTGAAATCACAAAATAAAGCTGAAATAGCACAGCGACAACAACTGACCCGTGTGTACGTCTCCGTATTTTCCAAAAATATTCTGTATTTATTGTAATAAAGATAATATCTCTAACAATGGGGGCTGTTCCATTCAGTGGTGTGGGAAAAACAACAAAACATCTAATTACAAAACAAACGGAATCACATTTCATCGGTAAAAATTACATTTAATATTTAATTAAATGTAATTTTTCATTTTTCGTCCTTTATAGCAAAGTTCAAGTTAAACTGGTCGATTTGAAGTGTAATAACTGACGACACCCGTCAATTGTTTCGAATTCAGGCTGGCCAATCGGAGTACAGTTGTCACCGTAATGATTTGGCAGAAAAGTTTTCAAACAAATTAAATGACATTCGTCTCTATTTCTGGTTATATACTCGATGTATGTAAATAATTACTATAATACTTTACAATCTCAGTCATCATGTTACTTTACGACCAGTAAAGGGCTCGAAAAGTTGGTTTGTTTGAAAAAAACAAATATAAGCGATTTAAATCCGAAAAAATAGTTTCATTTCCTATGTGTAACAATAGCAAAAACCTAAGCACTCGATGTACCATTATAATCTTATCCAAGCATTGACTTACAATTATATGGACGTCGGGTCCGCGCTAAAAAGTGTCCGAACTTATAGGGCGTTAAAATCGTATACAGAGCGTCATTCGCGCTTTAGTCTTCGTTTGTTCGACTGACAGCGACGCAAACAAAATTAGACAGCACTGCGATGACATTACAATTTAAATTCAACGTTTTAGCTTTTTCATATTCCTTTACATGCCACTACGTTTAAATAGGTTGACTTGGGACATTTTTTTCGTGGTTTTTGTATTAGACCCGTCGTCCATTTATTTGTAAGTCAATGTATCCAAGACAGTTAAGTCCTTGCGCGATTTCGCACTCATTACCTTCTTTAAACTGCTTAAACATGACGTCCAGAGTGACGTCCTCGAATACGAAGTTGCAGGGGTTCTGGTAGTACTGGCAGAGGGTCCTCAGTGGAGTGTTGTCGTCCGGGTCCACGAAGGCCAGGTCTTTGATGAAGAGGACCGTTACTATGTTGCCCCGGGTGCCTTCATAGACGGGGATCCGGGAATAGCCTGGAAACAAAGAATCAACATTATTTTTACAACATAATGTACCATATTTTAGAACGAACAAGTTTTATTATAGCGAATAAAGAACTGATTTATATAGTGATTTATTACATAAACTTCACCTATCCTGCCGCCAAGCAGTAATGTCAGCATTACTGCATTCCGGTTTTGAAGGGTAAGGGTGCTGGCGTAATTACAGGCACATGAGACTTGTTAAATTATCTCTCAGACGCAATAGCGGTGTCCTTCAGACCTTTGACATTAAAAGCTCTGAGTGGCACTGTAACTGCTATGGACAGACGTATAGCTTACAACAGTTGCAGTGTCACATGTCCACATGGCCACTCAGAGCTTTAAATCGCAAAGATCTTAGGGGTACTGTAACTGCGCCCGTCACCCTGATTAATAAGTCCCATGTGCCTGTAATTTCACAAGCACCCCTTGCTTACATTACTGCTTGCCGGTCGAAAAAGGGAAGGGAGATCTACTGCTACTAAAACTTAACTATGAAAGTCCAGATTGTGTGTCGAAGAAAAAATAAAAGCAATTTTCCTGATATTCAGGCTTCACCTGGTAACTATTCGTTGTTGGAGACACTGCAGTACGTATTTATTAAATTGTTATTTATTTCTATTACGTTAGGGTCAAAACTACAACACCGTACAAGGATAAAGAAACACGTAAGCAATCATATTCTAATAATTAATATAATATTTTGCAATTTTTTGTTATATTTTAAGGTCGTCGCTTACTACTTGCTCGGTAACACCTCAAATCGAAATATCAAAAGTTACTTTTAAATACTGTTTGTATTTTTAACTCTATTTTATTTATTTAATAATTATATAAATTTGAAGAAAACATTCCACCTCTAAGGGCTCATTCAGAGTGTAGGCTCGGGCGCGGCGGCGAGTGCGGTCGAGTCTTGGCGTCTTTATATAGAAGATAGATAGATAGAATACGTTTATTGACTTTCCACAAGCACACACACAACAATATGAAACAATAAATAACGAAAAAAAGAAGACAAAAAAACGCAAGACAAACAAAATAACAAAAAGGTAGGAAATCAAATAAAAGTACATAATAAACAACATATATGTGCTAATTAATTAAAAGCAAGTTGTGAGTGCTGCAGCAAGCCAAACGGGCCATAGGTCAGTGCGGGTGTTGCCCAAAAGCAACGCACTGATTTTCAGCTATCGCCTGGAGGGTAACGCGGTGTGTTGCATCAACAGCAAAAGGCAATGTGTAAGTCGCGCACTGAGTTTTAGTGTACTTGTGCCAGTGTTAACATGTCAGTAGGAGCGTACGTTGCTCTCGTAACGAAAAAAATCCTTTCA